TTGTTCTAATTGTCTTGGAATAGCAGTCTACCTGGCCATTCTACGAGAGATGCAATTTTAAGATCTTTGCATATTAAAAGCAACAATGTTAACGAAAAACTATGCGTTTATTGTATAAGTAATTAAAAAGACTGCGTGCTTGTGTGTGAATGTGCGTATAATGTTTGTCAAAGAGTTTGCTGTTGAACCCTTTACACATAGCACACATGCTAGCAAAGATAGACAACCAAATGCGTGTGTGTGTGTGTGCTTGCGTGTGAGTACATAAGCAGAAATACCAGTTTTCGAAAAGCGAAAAAAAAACAACAAGCTGTACTGCTCAACCTGCAGCCCAGCCCCGCCACGCCACGCCACGCCACGCATAAAAAATGCAGCCACAAAACAGCAGCAGTCGCCACAGTTTTTTTTTTATAATGTACGCCAAAAAAAGAGCAACGCACACACACATTCACAGAGTTATGCACTTACATAAACTCACGCGCACTCTCCGAATGGGTGCCAATGAGTGCTCAGCGCAGCCATATGCAATGCACACTCTCACACTCACACTCGCACTCGCACTCTCACTCGCAGCCAACACCAATGCAAGCGCAAAAAATTGACGTTGGCAATGCAAGCAGAAGGCAGCGAGCAGCAAGCAGCACACGCAGAGAGCGGCCAAAGCATGCTGTGCTACTCTGGCATACGCGCCTGCTTCCGTAGCACAGTTTTCAGGCTTTCCACGGCCACTTCCCCTTCGTACGTGCCGTATGCGTGCGTGTGTCTGTGTATGCGTGTGCATGTGCATGTGTGTGCGTACGTGCGTTTGTGAAAATGTGTGCGCTGTCTCACTCGGGAAATTTTGTTTTCAATGACTCTTGCTGCACACAAGCGCCGTGGCAGTTTTATTCAAGTTTGAGCGCTCGAATCTGCAACAACGTGCCACGCAAAACTACAAGAAAAAACGCAAAACGTGTCGCAGTTATTGTGGATTGAGAAAAACATTGATCAACAACACATCAATACAACAAACACATCGAACTCAACAGAAACAACCGATTTTTTACAACACATTTTTTTGGATAAACTGCACATTTCGCTTCGTTTCGATTCGACTGCTGCTGCTGCTGCTGCCGTTCCGGATTGCTCATCGTGTGCTTGTGTGCGTGATTTATTCGTCTAAATTAACACAATACCGTTAATTAGAAACACTTTTGAGAAAGTAATAATAACAATCAACGGCAACAAAGTCCGCAAAAAATTGACTAAACCATAAAATGTGACAGTTTGGCAATTACAATCAACAATCAAAAAAAATTTTAAAACTCAAATATTTGTTATAAACACATCCATTTTGCTAATACTAATTAAATAAATCATTAAAATATTTGTGGCATAAAAACAATTGCAATAAATAACATACAAACAATACAATTGAAACAAACATTTAGGACACAGCAAAACAAAAAAAAAAAAAAAACACTTATTTAAAAGTGGCGATTTATAAAATTTGCAGTTGCTGTTGAAAAAATTAGTTGTGCCCAACCTGCGGCTTTATTAATATTTCGTGGTAAGTTATAAGCATTTCACGCACACACAGTTGCAATACAATAAATAAAATAACTTTTAAATGCATTTCTTAAATAATTTGCAACTTTACCCATATTCTTAACTAACACTAAATTATTTTGATTAGAAATGCGTTTTTGTACACAAAATGTGTTATATTTTATGGAACTATTAATTTAAGGAATTGAATGATTATATTTTTATTAACAATATTCGAAAAACAAAAATTGCAAAATGCGGTTAAAATTTTCCATTTTGTTACAATTTGTTCACACTATTTTATAATTTTTTGTTTATTTTTAATGACAATTTTTTTTAAATTTTCTTAAATGCCTAAAATTCATAAAAAATAGAAAGAAAAAATCATACGAAATCATATAAAACTCCAATGTAAGTGTTTCATATTATTTTATGCCATCATTGTAAAATGGAATGCATTTGTAACGATTTTCTTGCAGTGCACACCTCGTATTCTATGATAGGCAATTGTATTTAATTCAATAATTTGAACAATCAATTCTTACTATAAACTACGTACAAATGTACAAGAATTCCTACATAAATATGCATTATATTTATCGTAATATGATTTGTTGCATATTTTTATTTATATTTACAACGTCTTACATGACTATTTGAGCTTAAACACAAAAACGCATATTTGCTGCATTTCGCAATTCTTTTATTTTCGTAAAAAATTGACCACAAAGCAGTTCCAAAAAGTATATAAATAAAAAAGAAACTGGAAAACTCTAAACGCAAACCGGTTTCCAAGTGCATTCGTTTATTGGTTTCAATGACGCGCTCGTTCGTGGTTGCTGTTTTTTATTTATAATTTTTAATTAAAGTTTCTCGTAGACAACAAAATGGTGGCCGCTGACGAGCATTGCCCGTTAACAGAGCCTTAACAGTGCCGCTAACAGCGTATCTAGAAAACCGGAAAGCTCTGTTAGAAAGCTTTTACAGCTTGCTAGTGATCGCGGCGTATGCGCAATATCGTATAAGAGTTATAGGCAAGGGGCTGCATAGGTGTTAATAATGCCCTGCGTATGGGTTAATAATGCGCTTACGCAGTTAAAATTTGAAAACGTTTAATGCTGCTGTTCAACTACCTGCTGCTCTGCCGATTGGTTGCGCAAAAAAACATAAAAACGGCCAAGGCATAATAGCAAGGGAATGACGGGAGCGAGGGGAAGAATAGAGAAGAAAAGAAGACAGTAGATGGCATCGTTGACGGCGCATGTGTGGCAGCAGGTTCTGGGACTGCATTATCCGTTTTGGGCAGACAATGGGCAAAAATAAAAAGAAAAACACAAAGATTGTTTTACGCATTTTCCGCACTCGCACTCCACTTTATCGAACAATACGCTTCGCATTTGTTGTTGTGCGCCTTTTGTGCGTTGTCTGTCTTTGACATTTCCCTCTTGTCGGTTGTTGTTTTTGTTTTTGTTTTTTGCTCTTCTTTATCTTATTTGTGCAATTTATTGATATGGGGGCGCAGTTAGCCGACTACGAGTATACCTGTTTGGTAACTGGAGATTTTGCCGGCAACTGACAAAGCGGTTAGACTTTTTACTTCGACATCATTTATTGCATTCTGTCATTTAAGAACGCCTCCAGTTTTGGCAATTCCACACATGGCGCTGATCTGGAAGTATGTCCAACATATGTTGCACATGGCGACATGGTCATCATCATCATCATCAACTACCATACACACATACTTGTAGACACACACTCACACTTAGGAACGCATGCAGACAGCATATGGCATGGCCTGACCACTTGAGCTCTTGACTTTTGGGTGTGCATGCAAAAAAGGCAGGAAAACGCATTTTTCAATTTGAAATTTCGAAATGTGTAATTCGAGTGAGCAACCACTTTTGGGCACAACAACTTTTTGAAACTAAACAGCCTGTGACACACGCAAAATACACCGCACACACACACATACACCCACCCTTGTCCAGGCGACCACATTTTCCCGAAAAAAAGGAAAAAAAGAACACAACAAAATATACTGAGCAGGAAATACAGGAAAAAAATGAATGAAAACTGAACAACGCAAATTATTGCAAGTTTTTTGGTTTCATTGGTGTAAGTGTGTGTGTGTGTGTGTGTGTGTGTGTGTGTGAGTGCGTGTGCCTTGAGGTTAGGCTTCCAGCTTTCCAGGCCGCCTATAAAAAAAATATACATATAGTATATGTAAAACGCGGCATCGAAGCGCGAAAAGCAGCCGGAAAAATACGCGCGCTTGCTTCACGTTTTTCAAGGGATGTTCGCATATTTTTTCCCCCATTTTTTTGTCGTTGTTATTTTTGTTGTTGTTGTTGTTGTTGTTATTCACGCATTTCTACTCTGCTCTACTCAGTGCTTTCGCTTTTTATGGCGCATAAAACTTGGTGTGCTTGCATTGTTGTTGTTGTTGTTGCTCTTGCTGGGCATAAATTTTAAAACCAAGATTTTCCGCCAAAAATGCGCGAGAAAAAAAGCCAACTTTTGCAATGAAAAGACACCGCGTGTGTGGGAGTGAGAGGCTGGTGGGATGTGGGAGCGCGATGGAGAGGTGCGACTTGGGGAAGTGGGGCGGAAGTGGCACGTTAATGGTGTGGGTGATGATTTTTTGCACACCTGTATGTACGACAGAGGGTGGTGGTGTACTTACATATATACACATACATACATACTTGTACATATGTACTTGTATATGTGCTAGCTTTTATGTATTTGACGCCCAAAAACGAAATTAGAAACTAGACGAAAATGCGTAGGAAACATTTTGCCAGCTGTCCCTAATACGAGTATTACAATATTTATGTTAAAGAAGAAAGCCTCACTGTGCCCTAGAAATGGATATGGATATGCATAATCTATCAATTAACATAACATTAATAATAAACCACTTATTGGCTGCCTTCTCCAGCTTATCATGAGAAGAACACTTTCTAGCTTTTAAGAATTTTTGTGTATTTTTTGTTTTTTGCTCTGTGTAGTAAAAATTCGTTTGTCTTTGAATTTAGCAACCCATGCAAAATTCGATAGGACTGACACATTGTGGTTGCAAATTTTGTGTAGTTCACATATGTACAAGTATATATAATCGTAATTCTCATCGAAAATATCTTTCTTGTTTTCTTCTATTTTTCGGTGGTGCAGCAAACTGTTGAACGCCAAGCCTTAAACTGGCTCTCAAGGTGCGTAAACATCTCTCTTCCTATTCACCCACGCTGCTGGGCGCCGCCTTTGGCAGTTTGAGTGGCGCCTTCAACAGTAATAGTAACAACAACAATAACAGCAACAACAGTAGCAGCAACAGCGACAACGCACCGGACGAGGAGCCGGAGCAGGCACTGTTCCAGCATCATCTGCATTCCCATTCCCACCCTCACTCCCACAATCATCCCCACCAGCATCCCCGTCAGCGCGCAAAGCACACACAACGCCACAGCGAAATGGGTGGTCCCATACCAGGGGCGGCCGGAGGAACACCGGCTACAGAGGGCCAAACGTATTGTCTGCGCTGGAACAACCATCAGACAAATCTAGTGCAGATCCTGCATGCCCTGCACGAGGTGGGCAGCTATGTGGACTGCACCATTGTGGTGGACGATGAACAGTTTAAGGCGCATCGCGTGGTGCTGGCCGCCAACTCGCCCTATTTCCAGAGCATACTGCAGGATGTGCCCCAGGATCAGTGCAGCATCATTTTGCCGGGCGTGAAGGGGTTCGAGATTGCGGCACTGCTGCAATATATGTACACGGGCGAGACGACGGTGACAAAGAGCCAGGAGCCAGAGATACTGCGCACCGCCAAGGAGCTGCAAGTCAAAGGGCTCTACGACAATCTCATGAAGTTCAATCACAAGGCATCCTCGTCGTCGACAGCGGGGGCTGAGGAGCGAGTACCACCACCTGGCCATCACCATCAAGCACACCATCATCAGTTCCATGCCGCCAGCACAGCCAACGTAGCCACCCCTTCGAGCTCCAGCACCTTGAACAAGGCGGCTGCTTTGAACGGTGGTGATGCATATGGCCCACATGGTGGCAGCATCAGCAACACCAACTCCTCTTCAGTGATCTCAACCTCGACACACATTTCACCCAGTGCTGCCATCTCGAGCAGCTCCTCCCCACCGCCGCCGCCTTTCGGTGGATACCAAGCGCCACCATACACGAACCTCTATCGTAAATCCCCCGGCCCCATTGGCACCCATCATTCGGCAGCTGAAGCACCCTTGACACCCACCCATAGCACTCCACATGCGGCAGCAGCCGGCGAGGCAGGCCAGTGGCCCATGTCGCCATCAGCCGCTGCAGCTGCGATGCTCAATTCAGTCTATGAGTCAGCCGCCGACATGAATCCGCTCAAGCGCAAGAAGCTGTCCGCCATATCGAGCATGTTTATGAATCGTGATACCCCCATTTTGCGGAATGTGCTGGCACAGGCCAATTCGGCAGACTCCTCGCAGCCCAATCCCCTCCTCTTGCCGGGCGTCTTCAAGAACGAGAAGAGCAACACCTCGGCAGAGAAGACCCCCACACATCAGCATAGCAGCAGTGGTGGTGGCAACAGCCACAGTTTCAATGGATCCGACTATGGTGGTGATAAGGTAAGTTAACCAGATCTCTGTTCAATGGTGTCACTTGAATAGTATTTTCGCAAACTACGCCCATTTCAATTCAAAACTCAAATGGAGTTCAACTCTCAAATATCTGGCACTATACAGAATGCCATAAGGACTTAGACAAATTTAATTTTCTCAATTTTTGGTCCCTAATCTGAAAGAAAGTATATACATATATTATTTGGAATATATTTTGGAGTAATTTTGAAGTATGTAACAAAATCGATTTTATTGATAGAGCAATTAACAGTGCGTCTAGAACTGAAATGTAAATGAATCCTAAACATATTTAAAAATTATGTTTTAACAACCATTTTAGTTTAGCAGAAAAAATATTGACTCAGAAACGTAATTTTAATAAATTAGCCGACCACTAGGCATTTGCATTAAGTTCATGACAAACCTATTTCTATTTTTATGCTCAAAATATATAATTTTGACCTTTTGTGAACTAAAATAAAATACTCCTCAGAGTTCGCAATAATATAGACTCACCTAATAACTAGTATGTACTAGAAATATTCGATTAAAAATTACAAAAGCTAATCAGAGCGAGTCCAATGTACTATAATTCAAATTCATAAAAACCTATAGGCCTAGCTCTAATTTGTCTCTTTACCTTTTCAGGAACCGCTATCTCCACACACAGACCGCTCCTTCGACGAGGACACTGGCAATCAGTCCGGTGGCGGCAGCAAGAAGCCCGAATGGAAGCGGTACAAGCAATACACCCGCGCCGATATGATGTGTGCCATCCAGTGTGTCCGCGAGGGCATGAGTGCCCTCCAGGCTAGCCGCAAGTTCGGCCTGCCCTCTCGCACCCTGTACGACAAGGTGCGCAAGCTGAACATCACCACCGGACGTGGCACCCATCGCACACCTAAGCGCAGTCCACCCAGTGTTGAATCATCGGCAGCGTTCCCCTATGCCGCCGCCGCAGCGGCCGCCCACAATTATGGCCAAACGGAGCAGCAGCTGCTCTCGGCCATGCATGAGGAGCGCGAGGCCAAGGAGCACTCATCGCATGGTCATCGCAGCGAGAGTCATCACAGCATGCCACCAACCATTCCCCATTCGGCGGCAGCTCTGCTGGATCATGCCTTCCTGCAGCAGGCCCTGGAGAATCGTGGCGGCGACATTGCAGGACGCGAAGCTCTACATGCTATGGCCCTGGCGGCCGCGGCACATGCAGCGGCTAATCGCATGTCCAATAGTCCACCCGGCTCCAACGGGCATTCGGCACGCTCGCCCAGTCCGGCACTGTCGCGCCACTACGCCCAGGAGCAGGAGAAGCACGGCGAGCGTCTGATCAAGCGTGAGACTCTCGAACAGGATGAGCGCGACGCTGACGATGAGGACGATCATGTAGAGGACTTGTCGTTGGCTCGCAAGCAGCGCGTCATTTCGCCGCACATAATGCTGCACAAGCGTCCGGAATCCCCCTACTCGCCACCCCCACCCCCACCCGCACGCTCAGGTTCGCCCATGGAGTGTGCCGCCAGTGTCATAATGCCTCCTCTGAGCAGCAGCAGTGGCGACAACCACTCGACCAATGGCAAGCACAACGAGCCGAGGGAGGAGAGGGACCAGGAGCAGGAACGGGAGCGGGAGCGGGAGAGGGAGAGGGAGCGAGAGGCGCAGCACTACAACGATGAGGCCTCTACGCCTCCGCCCTCATCGGCCATGTCGGAGCACGCGGTGGCGCTCAAGCGCGAACTGCTGGCCGAGTCCGAGGCCCGCAATGACTGATTGATGCTTACCATGGCCTGGCAATATGCGGCCGACAGCTACGATTCCATATTCAATTCGCAGGCATCGCCGGATTAGATCGCGAGTCCTGCCCACCACATACATATGTATAGTTAGTTCACATGTTCACTACTTTAAATAATTATAGCATTTTTTTACAATTTAGGTTCGAGCTCCTTATCTTTAGATATCGTCGTTTATCCTGCAGCGTACAACGTGCATACTTTAACTCGTATATGTTGTGTTCTAATCGTTTCGGCTGCGCCCACACTACTTGTAGCTTGGGGCGTACGCCCATAACTGATCAGCGGTAGTGAAGCTTTAAACTAAATATGAAACGGAATACAAATGGAAACACTTTTCGTAACAAGCGCATTCTGCACTCAAATCAAATTTAAACACAAGTACCCAAAATTGTTGTCAGCATCACTTTGTGCCTAAAAAAGAGAAATATATATACATACATACATAGATTATAGGTATAGCTAGCTTAGTTTCCACACATCCACAGCAAATTGTAGCTAATAATACTAGAATAGCTAATAGACCGTTAGGCATTAGTCGGCCATTTTAGTTGTAAACCTTTGCGCTCAGTCGAATTTCCTAAAGAGAAGAAACAAACTATATAGATTATAGGCGAAGAAATCAAAAGCATATACTATATACATACATATGTGTATAGTACACACACAATCACACACACACACACACTATTTACTTACGTAAGACTGAAGTAGGCACCGATATCGTCAACAGCGAAAGGCTACAGAGCAACAGAGGCTCAAATAACGTTTAGGATTGGATAAGGACTTCAATGCATGTCCAGTGAATCCCGAATATGTTTTAGATACAACTTAGTAATGTTAAAATGCCAGTGATTTGTTTTAAAAATTATTTAGCATTAGTATTAAATATATAGTATGATAATGTTTAGTTAATACTATATATCTACTTTTTTTTCGTTTCTTATCAATGGATTTTCAAGCAACGTAACTACCTCAGAATTATTGTCAAGCATACCCTTAATTTTCAATTGTTCTTTCAACTATTCTGATAACAAAGCAAAATTGTCCTGGGTTCAAATTTTATAAGACTGACACCGACTCATGAATATACATACATACAAACATAAATACATATATACGTATATATACGTACGAGTACATACATACGTATAATAACTGAAAGAACAGACATAACCTAAAGGATTACGGATATAAAAAACAAATACACAAGACCCGTGCATACAAATTGAAGCGTACAAATGTTTTAATATTAATTTAGTGATTTACTTAGATAAATTAGTTTTAAAGTCAAAAGATTTGCAAAAGCAAATGCGAAAACAAAACAACATAAAAAAACAACATGCGCTGGGGGCAATGCAATAGGCTCTTTAATTTTAAACTATATATAATGTTAATTCGTTATACAAAACAATGTACATAAACATTTTGCATCGTTATTCAAAGTTAGCATTTAATTCCTAAATGTAATGGCAATCTGCATATTATTATATAGAATTGTGTCTGTATGTAAAAAAAGCGCAAAAATTGTAAAAACAAAAACATGCAAAATATTATTCAAAAATAAAATGACTGAAAATAAAATCAAATAGAAAGAATAGTCGAATGTGTTATCATTTAAGCAACAGATTAACTGATTATACGATCAAATATTTATTCTCTTTTGTAATAAGAGAATATGTGAACGATGTTTAACCAGATTTCGTCGACTCAGATCCTACTCGAGTTGGTTAATTTGTGTCGCCAGTTATAGCAACTCCACTTTTTATTGTCCTGTGGGTACTTCAGCAATTTAGGATACTACAAATATGCTTCTGAGAAGATGACAAAATATATATGCATGTCCATATACTTACATACTTAAATAAAGCTCTCAAAAACTGTTCATCAAAGTGCTATAGTTCTGATGATGCCATTGTTCATAAAATGGCAATGATGAAATCATTATTGCCTGTATGCTAAGGACACTTTTAAAATGATGATCAAGTATGTATTCTGATTACAAAAACACAAAAAAAAAAACATTTATATAGCTTTATTCGGCCTGCAGGTACTTTGACGTTACTTTTTTTAGCCCAACTGCTTAATTTTATTTTCTAAATATTGCCTCTTCAAGAAAAGAAAGCATTTTTCCAAACCCCGGCGGAAAACGAGTGCTAAGTGCAAACGGTGTCAAATCACATCGCAAATCTTGGTGTATCCTGCGGAAAAGAGTACATACCTTCCAGTTGCGTTACGCCAGATACTATTAAAGGTATTAAATATTATTAAGCCCATTGCCCCCACATTACCCCAGCCTGCGAGCGTTTAGTGAGACGCAATCCCTCGTATGCGGAAGTCTCTGGTGAGTTTCACACTTCTATTCATAATCTGCTTCATCTGTAAGTGATCCTCTTCAGTTTTTGTAACAACAACATCCTTCTAAATGATGTTATATCTCGATTATCACAGAACGAAACTGGGAAATCGTTTAAATATATAAAACCAAATGACCATGGCTTTGCTAAACAAATGAATGTTGCTAAGCAAATTAATGTTGCTCAACAAATTAATGCCACCAAAATCATGTTTGGAACCAACTTGTGATATTTTTATTTCCTGTCCCTAAAGGGTACTTACTAGTTTATTAGGAGTACTTACATTCTTTACATTCTACATCAATAATATTTTTCCGAAAATATTGCTTTAAAAACACGTTTCAAATTGTTTCAACTGTCTAACACAAAAAAGCAGTGCTGCTAAACGTAACACTATTACCACATCGATATCACGGGCATATCGATAGATATTACGGCCATTTTGATTTTTTTTTCTTCCGTCAATATCTTTATATCGGCGTCGGCCGTGCAACGTGCATTTGTGAAAATTAGCTTGCAAAGAAACTAGTAAATACAATGGGCGTACAGGTTGTGCCAATCTCTCCCGGTGATGGTAAGTGACTAAATATAATATATTTAATGCAATGAAATTGTTTCATATATGACAATATCTTTGCCGCCCTCGCCGTTGCAGAAGCGATGGAAAATTACCCATTTGACGCTATGGCCGGCCAATACATATGCAATATATTTATCTCGCTCATACCTATGTATTCGCTCTTATCTTTGCAGGTAGCACATTCCCCAAGAACGGCCAAAAAGTGTCGGTCCACTACACGGGCACTTTGGACGATGGCAAGAAGTTTGATTCCTCTCGCGACCGCAACAAGCCTTTCAAGTTCACCATTGGCAAGGGCGAGGTAATCCGTGGCTGGGATGAAGGAGTAGCTCAACTCAGCGTTGGACAGCGTGCCAAGTTGATTTGCTCGCCGGACTACGCCTACGGTAGTCGTGGCCATCCTGGTGTCATTCCTCCCAATGCCACCCTCACCTTCGATGTGGAGTTGCTCAAGGTCGAATAAATTGCGACCGTTAGCGGAGGGCTGGAGCGCGTATTATGAGCAGCAGTGGGAAGTGGGCGGCGCAGTGTAATGGACCCACTGTAGTATACATATATGCGTTGTTGGGAGGGGTAGCTGCAGCTGCTGTCTGTATACCAACTCTCAACACACACACAACCCCATAACGCTTATGTATATAGAACATCAGCTCGACGCTCCAGCTGCAGGAACATTCTCAACTAAAACCACTACACTAAACAACCAAACAAGAACAATCCAGCAGCATTTTAAATTCTATTTTTACGCAAAAGAGATTGGCGAATTTCGCGGCTCTATCCAACCGCAGACATCTAGATTTAATTAACTCAATGCTATTGAAAAAGGAAAACGCATCTACGCATACAAATAAACATTTATTCAAGTCAATGACAAAATGTTAGCCTTATGTTTTATATTTTAATTTCTGCAGTAACCTATTGTATTATAAATTTGTACATATTTCAATTCTTGCACACAACATCCATTATCTGGTCAATAATTTCGTAGCGTTCACGCTCGTATTGCTGCGCATGCTTTAACCAATGTCCGCGCACCCGTTTCCAACGCTCTGTGTTTGCAGCTAAAAGTTGCTCCTTGCTTGCGTTTTCTAAAGCTTGCTCTTCTTTCTTCTCCGCCTTGGTGAAGTTCAAACGCGGTGGTATCAGCGACAATTCCGTAGTACGTGCCTGTGGCATTTGCTTCAAGACTTTTAGCTCACCACTACGGAGCTTCTCCAACACCTCCTCCGCATTGTCCTCGCGCTTGACAGCATCTCCGGCCTCCTCATTGTTGTACATCGCCACGCTCGGATTTCGCGGCTGATTGGCCATCCACGCACGACAGATGGGATACAGAGGTGTTTTGTCTTTGTATTTGGACAAATCCAAGCTCCGCTCGAACAGACGCATCACGTAGGATTCATTAATGGCCTTTTGGGAGGAGTTGTTGGCGCCGCCACTGCTGCCCTTCTTGTATGTTGAGCGCTTGGTTTTGGTGGCGGAGCGACCGGAACTGGAACCGCTAGACGTTGCTCCTGCTGCGGCGGCAACGGTTTTCAGCTCAGGCTGCAATTTGACCTGGAAACGATGTTGTTGTTGCTGCAGCATTAGTTTTTTAGAAGGACGTCCTCGGATCGGAAGTTCAGACTCCATGTCGTCTTCATCATTGTTGCTTTCCACTGATGGCGCTGCAGCTTGCACGTTACGCGCCTCACGTAAGCGAAGTGATACCCCACCACGATGTGATTTCTTTGGTGAAGTCTTCATTTTTAGTTAAATTTAATTTTAACTCAAAGAACGGGTCAATTTTTCAATTTGCAGTTTTAAAATAATAGCCATTCACTGTGAATGTCAAATTAGTCTAGTAATGGCAGATTTCCGCATGACCTTACCAGACCGATAAAAATAGCGTATGTGCCAAACAGTTGGTCGTGTATTAGAGATGGCCGGAAAGCATAATACAGTGAATGTTGCATTTATATAATTTTGGTATTTGAATGATCAGATATATATATACACAATTAATATTGGACTGATTTCGATCATCCTATAAATAACATGGAAAGAAAATTATTATTAATTTGGACGGTACACTTATGGCTTAACCAAAATGTAAGCAGGTATATATAAACGGTCTTTACGATCGGCCCAACTTTTGCAAGATATTGCAATTTCATTTAATATAAATAGTCTTACCTAATACTTGACTTACTTTAAAATATATTTTATAATTTATTAATATTCTGCATTAAAACTGCAACATTGCACGCTTACATGGAGGGCTGTTATTTTAAGTACTTTTCACGCCGCGTTGCGAAATTCGTGATAAAATAATAGCTACACAAAATATCATGAATGCCTTGGTCACCTCTATTCAGTTTCAATCAATTCGGCCCATGATTCAGTCGGACTGCTGCGCGCGTTTGCTCTTGTTTGAAAGAAGGGCATACATTGAATTTTGATAGATAATACAAACATTTTGTTCCGTGCAATTGCAACGTGTGCATACTAATGAAAAATTAAGTGCAACATGTTTAAGGCAACATAATTCCCACGACTTGGGACTTGTTAATACATAGAACAATATAGCGCTAAGTGGAATACTTGTAGTTATATAAAAAAAACGCGGAACTGCAATTGCAGATTTACAGTAAGTTTTAGTCTACATATATTATCAGCCTGTTTTTTGTTTGCTCCTTCTCTATGCATTTTTGCGTATTTATCTTTCGCTGTTGTTTTGTTGTCGTTTTTGCTGCTCTCTCGCTCTCATTCGTCGTCACACAGACACTAACGCACCCCCACTCTCAAGAGTTTGTGCGTTACTGCGTCATTTTTGTTGTTGCTCCAAATTTGTTCCCCCACATGTGCCTACATACATATGTATATGTACGTACACATATGTATATATAAACGTATATAAATACATATGTACACGACTACAAAGTTTCATATATATTTACTATCTCGCTATTTTTAGTCTGAAGATTTACTTTTTACAGTAATTTAACGTCAGCGGAATGTGCAGCAGCTGCAGCAACTTTAGAAATACATACTAATAATATCTCCCTTTTGAAATTGCATACAAAAAGAGAGTGTTAAGAGAGGGAAACTAACTGTAATTTTATTAAAACAATATGACATTTCTTGTTTTAAATTTAAAACTGTCGTGATATTTGCCATAAGTTGTCATATATAATTCCATTTGTTCGGCTGCCTTATCAGTCATAGGAAAAATGAATTATAAAGAGACTGATACCACATACACAAACTACGGTTTACCTTCATTCTTTCTTAACAGCTGACTTTTCGTTTCGCTTCCCTGTTGCTATTTCGAAAGTTCGCTGAACTTCGCATAAATACATATAAGTGAGACATTTATTGAACATCTAGACATATGTATGTACATTTAAGTTAAGAAGTCTGTTTAAATTTCATAGTTTCACTGCTGCCTCTCCGTTATCGCCGCCCATCAAAGAGGCTCGCCACATACACATGCTGTCTTTTATCAAGTTTAGTCAGCTGGTTTTTCATTGTGGAGGTGGCCTCGCCGTCTAAACATTTTGATTTAGACACACTTATACGCAGTAGTTGTGGGTTCGCTTCCGCCCGGGCTTGTTGGCTTCTTAGACGACGTCCACGTTACTTAGCCTTAACTACCCGGGCAACATTAATTTTTTTTTTTTTTCAAATATGTTATATGCATATGCTTGTATGTCTGCATTATTAATTGAGCTCTAAAGAGTGCTCTCTTTCACGTATTTTAACGGCAAGCATGGTGCTTGGCTAGACGATTCGCCTTGCTATGCTTCAGCTCCGAAATCCATGACGTAATTAAGTAAACGCTGCACTCCAACTTGTTTTGGTCTTATAAGAAATAGATGTAAGTACTTCTGTACGCGCAGGAATATACATATGTATGTGTGTGTGTGTGTGTGTGTGTGGCTGCGCTCAAACCGGTTTTCATAGTTAACTTTTGTTTTCGTATCTGCGCCGCAGCAAAGTTTCTTTCGCGTCAAGTTAAAGTTACGCGTACAGTAAAACATATTAGTTGGTTAGCTTTTTAACTTCATCAGGATCAAAACTATTTAAAGAGTAGATTGTTTATATAATAAAGGAGTTTTATAAAGCATTTTAGCCAAATACACTTTCAAAAAACTGTTTAAACTATAAAAATTACTAATCAGTCATTTTGTTTAAAAAATAATTAGCTGTAATATTTTTGAAGCGATAATGTTTAAATTATTTTGAAACGAAAAAATAAACATTATAAACTTGTATTATTTAAAAAATATACAGACAATATTCAATGACTTTGCTTAGTTTTAATTGTTAAAAAAAATTGTAACTTTTTGCTGCTTATAAATCGATTTCTTATTTAAAAAATAAAAAGATAACATACTGAGGTTGTACTGTATCTGTTTTGTTGCCCCAAAGATGGGGCTTTGCATTGCTTGTTGTTGACTATCAGACGTGACGAGACTTTTGAAGCGAATTCACATTCAATCAGCGTGTGTGTGTTGTGATTTAACTTACATGTGTACATATGTGTGTGTGTGTATGTTGTAATGCGATCAAACGAACACAAACAAATCAAAATTGGTTGCTGTTCATTGTTTATAGTCAGCGAAGCGTCCTTGACACGCTTACGCCCAGAAGGCAGCATAAAAAAGTTTAGTTTACATCTGATTGTTGGAGCATAAACAAAAGCGCGTGTAAACGGGTTTGCCGATAATGCTAAAAAAAAACATTTGTTGCTCTAAAGCCGTTCTATTTATAAACATAAACAAACAAATACACAACTTTTTACAGTGATTGTTGCCCAAAGTAGTTGTTGCTGTCAACGCATTTAAAAAGGTATGACATCATTTCTCGAGCAACAATCGCTTTGAGCTCTCACAACGCACTCACACACACACACACAAACACAAACACACACGTCTCTACAAATAACAAAACGAATGCTAATCTTCCAATATTTGTTCAGAGTGTTTAACGTATGGAGTGAAGAAATGCATTCAGGCCTATAGAGTCGTAACTTTCAAATATTAGTGTGTGGGTTAACCACGCCCACCTGCTCCCTCCACCAATTAACGACCTCCCACTTGGCCCATGTAACGTGCCCCAAATGCATTTGAATTATTACGATATACATATATCGTGTTAATTTCTCTTTAGTTTGCTTGGCATGGAATCGTGCCAAAAGTGGGTCAATTGGGTCGTGCCTTTGACTCGATAAAGGTGCGTGTTTGTCACCTGGCAACGTTCTCAAAGAAATCAATAAAAGAAGCACAAAGAAGTTTGACTACAACGATATCAGCCGGATTATTTAATACAGAAACTAGAACACACGCACATATAACAAGTCTAGAAATCGATGCATGCGACAAGTAGATAGGTACAGAAGATCACTCGGCTATAAAAAAAAACCAAATCAAACATTAATATTAATATTTTTGTAAATTTGGCTAAATATCTGTTATAATTCGGTTTATAAAGGGGGTGATTTAAAAAAAAAATACATACAAGTATGTACAAGATTTCCCTTGAAGATTAACAGATTCAGTTTTCAGATTTCAAATTTGAATAAAATATTATATTATTAAAAATATATAATTCACTTAATGAAGACTTATTTAAAGATCATCGTAAATCAAACGTATACGGGTAGAAAAGTCGATACAATTTAGAATAATTTTCGATCATTTCTAAATTAATTCTACAAAAGATGACTTGTTGGCTTAAATGAAAATTATACTACGATCAAAGTAGTAGTAAATAGTCAATTTAGATAAATTCGGGACTCTATATAGTAAGCGATTTAATCAAATTCGACATTTAAATCAAAAAGAAGTCAATTTTTCCGAATTTCTGGGATGTGAATAGGCAACAGTTAATCCCACAGGAATAAATTCTTCAAAAATTTCATGTCAACGGATTTAAATGTAACTACAGAATGGCTGAGTTATCTTAACTGCATTAAACTACACCTTAATTAAGTTCTATATACTCGTACATATAATCCCATTTTCAAAAATCATTCTTAACAAATGCCCTCATTTTGTTTGAGTTTAAAGTACATTTGTATGTCTGTAGAACCCGCTGAAGATAACGCACAGTTTTATCTGTCTCATTTAGAAATGTCATATGCTTTTTATAACTGACACAAACAAATACATAAAGCACATACATACATATCCATATATATTGAACAAACATGTCTTTCAATAAGCAATAGGAGCTAAGGTGGTAAAACCGCTACACTTATTAATAAACAAATTTTTGGGTTTCGCGCAGATTTTTCCCTCAGTGGTGAGTTTTCCCAAACCTCTGTAAGATGGGGCAGATCATGGGATCTGTGCAGAGCAATGTGGCCGAAGTGTTTAGCAGTCGGCGGAAGCGAAAACGCAGCATGGATTCAACGTCTGGACGCGAGGAACAGTCTGAGCTGGATTCCACATCAGCAAAAAAGTAAGTGGCATGCTTGATTATTTATCAGAACTTGGGATTTCTATACTTTCGAATTTTCCACAGAAAGAAGCTCCTTACAACCACACAATACATTTACAAGGCGCTCTTCAAAGAGCAACAGAACTCGGATGTGGCTGTAATGGCATTGGATAAGGTGTGGCATTTGCATAAGGTATATCTAAGTCAAAGCCCCTACTTCTATACCATGTTCAATGGTTCTTGGAGGGAGGCGAAACAGGATTTCGTTCATATTCAGATCTTGGATCCTCGAATACACGTTGAAAGCTTGGATGCGGTTTTCGGTTCCATGTATTCAGATGAGATCGAGATTGATGCGAAGGATGTTATTCCCGTACTGGCGACGGCCACGCTCTTCCATCTCGATGGCATTATAGACAAGTGTGCCGAAGTAATGGTGGACAACATCAATGCTGAGACTGCCATCCAGTACTATGAAGCTGCCTGCCAGTATGGCGTTCTGAGCGTCAAGAAATCAACGTTTCAATGGTTTCAAATAAATTTACTAAGCATCTACAATAAGCATCCAAACCTCTTGCGGCACATATCTATAGATCTGATGAGTGCACTTACCTCCAGCCACGATCTGTATGTGATGCAAACGGAATTCTCACTGTATACGCTGTTGCGCACTTGGATGTTCTTGCGCCTGCATCCCGATTACGATCCTGAGGATCCAGCCCAGCTTGCTGAGGCCCAGAAGACCCAGCAGCGTTTAGCTAATGCGGGTGTAGATACGCATACCCCTGCCGTGGATATTGTCCAATGGGCATACTTTGCCAATCGCATGGAGGAGCGCTCGTTCCTGGCCACACCCGAGGGCCAGCCCTATGTGTGTGTATTTCAGAAGCTGCGCACACAGTACCTTACCAACCACTATATGGACTTAAAGATTATATTCAATGACAACATAATTCCCAAGGAGTGGCTCTATCGCCACATACACAGTCATTGGGATGCGCTGTTGCGTATCGACCATGGTCAGGAGGATGGGTAAGTTATCAGCATGTTACCCATGAATAGCACTAATCATTGTTATATCTATTGGTGCTGGCTCTTCAGCAGTCCGCAGCAGCTCGACGATGATGAATTCTACGAGAATTGCATGCGTTGCGGTCGCCTGCTCCTTGAGCCTGGGTATCAGAAATGGCGTTGGACGGGCTTTAATTATGGCATGGATCTCATTTTAATTATGGACTCACGCAGACTGAACATTCGCCGGCATCATCGACACGAGCACGAGCGTGTCCTGAGCCTGCAAACCAAGCGCAAGTTTATGGTGCGCACCACAGTGACGTCCATAAATGCCCAACGACAGCCCGTGTTCACACAGACCTCGGAAATAAGCTCGCTCAGTTTGGAAAAGAACGAGGAGGTATCGCTGATGGTGCTCGATCCTAAGCTGGTTCATCCGCTGCTCATATCAATTAACATGCTCCTCATTACGCCTCCCAATCAAAGCTTCAAGGATGTAGTGCCGCAGTGCGAGGAGGCAACACACACAGCATCAGCCGTGCCGATATCAGAAATTGGCGCAAGCTGCGAACGTCCCGTGACGCCAGCAAGTGCAGATGATTCGGCTGTTTGTGTTAGTGGCGGCTCGGAAGCATCGACGCCGGTATCGCCAGCGCCGAGAAGACGCATCAGTTGGTCCCGTGCCGGTCAATTGGTGTCCAGTGATGCGGCGCTGTGCGGCGATAGTGGGTGCTGAGCGCTATCTAACCACTACCCAGCATGCACTACCAGTACCGCTACCCACCGTTAGCCCAGTTCTCATTATTCTATTCAATCCTTCGCAAGCCGAATTATTACTGTTGTACATTCTTTTTCTGCTAGTTTCTGGAAAAGATTAGCGCGCTGTACATACAAAACTGCTACCTATTGTTAGTTATTAAGTTCGTCTAAAGCGGCGCATTCGACATGTCCACGCGCACACAATTATAAACGCTGCTCTAAAATATTTTCATATATATATATACACCGTCTGTATATATCCGTATTGTCTATATAACTCTATATATACATATATTTTTGTACATTTTACTTATGTATTAGTATTCGCACACTTAATGTGCGTTCGCACACCGACGTTTTCTCTTAGATATACCAATAACTTACTACCTTAAGGATAAATTGAGAGCAGATCGTAATTAAGTGTTCGTATTAACTAAACATATTTTACTTAATTTTGATAGACGTATTGTAAGTCACACTCACACAAATGTACGCACATTATTTAATTCTATGATTTAACTTGTTGCCAATCATCTCAAGAGAAACTGATATTTCATTAAACTGAGCATTTATTTCACTTCGAAATTATGTGAAACACAATAGCATACAGTTTGTTTATATATATTTTGATCGGAAATAACCGATGAATTGAGTTAGCTAAAATCAATTTTAAGACGTTTCAAAAAAGGTTAATGAAAAATATATGACTTTCATTTTAAAGTCATGATTGAAAAGGTAGTTTGTTTACTTAGTTTACAAAAGTTTAATAAGTTTATGCACCTAAACCTAAGAGGTACAAGAGTATATTACATATGTTTGCGGAAAGTGAAAAATGTAACAGTATGACAAAACGAGTCGATCTAGCCCTCTCTGTCCGGCCGTATGTGCACCTGGATCCCAGAGCAGAGCTGTATTATAGGGTATCTCCAATTGATTGGATAAATAAGAGTTAAGCACGTGCTTCACTTTTTAATCCTATATGCATTTAATAATAGAGCCTATTTATACATTACTCGCAGAACTCAAATAATATAAATGCTCCACGCTTGGTTGTACTCATCCTCACTTGAGTTTACTAGGAATAGGGGTACATGTGCCAATAACAAAAGGGTAAAAAGGTTTTAGTACATAAATATAAGGTTTGTGCAAAAATAAAATAACCACAAGGTAACAAAATCGGCCCCATAAAGTATACTATATATATTTTATATATTTCGCCAACATTAATGTACTTTGTATTTCTTACATACACATATATTCAAATTTTATTATTAATTTAATATGTGGTAGGCTATCTTGCCAGTTTCATTTAGTTGTATTTATATGGCAGTCGACATATCAACAGCACTATACAAAAAGGATAAATTACTTGCTGCTATAAGTTCGTTAAGCATAGAAATATTCGCTTTGCAAAAGGAATGGCGCGTTTTACTGGAAATTAATATTTGTGTATAGGTGGGGAGTAGAAATAAAGTTGCAGATTTCTGAAGTGGGGTGCTAAAACACTTTTTGATATGCATGACGCGACAAGTCGAATAACACATACCCGTCCGTCTGTCTGGATGAACGCCAGGAACGGTTAGCATGGTCATGGCCATTATGGATTGAAAGAAATCTCAGCAGGTGGCCCCCAAGGCAGCGTTCTTCGTGGATGAATCACGTGCCTGGACGGTTGACCCCACCTTAACCAAACTTGGTAAGTAGACTATTGCAATTCCTAGACAATACGGATTTAGATTATTAAACTCTTAGTTAAACAACATTTTAATATTAATAGTTCCCATTGCAAGCCTACAATAGTTCTGTACAAAATTTGCTGATAGGAAACTTGTTACCGAGAATAAAGTTTTAAGCCGAACCATTTGTTACTATGCTTTATTATCATATATTTTCTACAAGTTAGAGGCCATCTAGTATTCCATCGCCACGGCAGCAGTCCCATTATGTGTCGACCCGTTTTGCCCAAGCTCGTGAAGGAACTTTTCCGGCAGTTGACCACTTTGCAGGATCTGTGACAGTCTTTCCACTTCTGCAAGGGAGCTGGCGCGTTTGATTGCTTCACGTATACGCTGCATGTCTTCTGGATTCGCAAAATGTCCACCGTCGCTGGCCACTTTGCCGTTCGCTTCTGCCGCCAGAGCCGCAGCTGCGCTCAGCTTTGACTTTTTGGCCACCTCTTTCAGCATATCCTTGCCCTGTTTGCTGCGGAAGAACTCTTGAGCAGCACGTCTATCTTTCTGTCTTATTTTTCGGAAGTCCAGCAACCGTAGGTGTGGGAACTTGAACGCCATGTACTCGCGGTAATTAGTCTTCGTAGAGACTGGATTAATTAGCAGGCAAATTGTCTCTAACTTTGTGAACGCAGTCAGTGGCTCTAAGTCGCTCAGCTCCTGCAAATTGTTGCCTGTCAAAATGATGGAATTCAGGTTGGGCACCGCCTCCTCCAATCCCTCGGCGATGCGTAAGATGCGGTTGTTGTTCAACAATAGGCACTTTAAACGCGGGAGGTGTGGCAGATTGTCCAACTTGCGCAGATCATTGTCTGACAAATCAATGGTGTCGAACTGATCCAGAGTAGCGCCCAGGTTTTCGATCTGTGGTATTTTGTAGCCGCGCAAATCAAGCTCTCGCTCTCTGCACGGATTAATGTACTGCATCGACTGATTGATCAGCTCCGGCGTTAGTTTCACCATGTCGGCCGGTATTAGGTTCAGAGAGAACTGTACAAAAAGACTTCCTATGAGCAGATAATTGACTTATTTTATAAATATTGCGTTAAAATCCAAAGAAGCACAAATTATTATTGCCGACGCGAGTGGCGTTAGGGACGAGCAAAGAGACGGCAACAATGCTTTTCGATAATATTTCGATAAGCAACCGATTGCAAGTACACAATATTTATTCGATATATGGCCGCCAACTATCGACGATTAAATGAAACAAGAGTCGGTATTTGATTTTTGAATGTTTTTTTAATTGAATTTCAATACATTACAATGAAGTTTAAATTGCTTAACTATAATGAACACGTTACAATTTGATGTGTTTTATTTTTAATTTGCTGAAATTTAGTGGCAAACAAATTTGTGCCAACTATGGGAAATTGTTAACACTTTTTTTATTGGTGTGTGTTCGGTGGTGGATCTGGGTCAAACATCTATTTTTACGATAATTAACTTCGTGTATTGTTTGTGCAAGCTACATGCTGTATAGTTTGAAATTCTGACAATAAGTCTTAAAAATTTTGTAGATTTTCTGTAATTTATTTAGTAAATGCATTTTTGTATACTTTATCTTATATTTTCGTTAAACTTTCACAACTCAATCCAAATCAATTGGTATTTTAAATAAATGCATTCTTTACACTTGACAGCTTTGTTCAATTTTTAAACAGATTGTCGTTTGTATACTAAGTAAATCAAAAGTGTTAAATAAAAAAGGAAAAATCTTTTTGAAGCAGTTATAAAAAATATTGTATTTAGTTTAATTAATTTGTTTAGGCCTTTAAATTAGTTTTACGCACGCAAAAGACTTATATATCAATTCATTGCGTTATATTCGTTAGATTTATATAGTTTAATTGAAAATTGTTTTTACCACACGTTAAAAATATATTTTCTTGTATATATTTGGCACTTAACTCATTTAAAATACAGAAAATATAATACACAAAAGACTTGTTTATATATATATAGGTATAAATATGCAAAAGTTTTTTAGGTAAAAAGTATATAAATAAATAAATCACGTTCATTTAAAATAAAGTTTAAAAATCAAAAACAAAACACGCGCAATTGCACATACATTATTGTTCAGTACGAATGCTTAAAGACATAAGTTGCCATCAGAATTTTCCTCAACGCACGCGAAAACTTCGGCAGCTCTTCGGCTTATTGGGAGGGGGGATTATTGTTGTAAAGGAATGTTGAGCACACATGTATCTAAACAATTTATAAATCAACGACATCCTCTTTTGTGTACGGCGATTCTCTATTTGAGCGACGCATGGAGGTCCGCTGTAGGCCTTCAACTAATGTCGCCTGTTGAAAAGATTACGCATAGTTTTAAATATACACACATATATACACACAAAATATTGATATCAATTTATACATTTATGATCGGATGAATGCAACTGGCATGCAGACGACTCAAAGTCACAGACACTTTAAACTTAAAAGCTAAACAACATTAAAAAGCAAATGCAGTGATAAATAAACGATAAACGTACAAAATGAATACTTAAAACAAATATAAAGCCAAATACACGTATTGCTTTGCTCTGAAGATTTTTGATGAGCGTTGATATGAAGCGAAGCACAACCAAATGGAGCCCAGCATTTTTATTCAGCCCGTCAGCACATGGAGTGAAAATGCGTTGAGAAGACGCCAAATGTTTTCAAACCTCGAATAGAGTTGAGATCTCTTTGCCCGCTATCCGTTTCACATTGCTCTCGGCACAGCTGGATGTTTTCGTTATGGCCTGGCCATTCCGAATGCTGAGTATTTCATTGCTGATGAGGCTCGCACAGGCCATGGCATGCTTCTGTTCATTGCTACTGACACTACTACTGGTATTATTGCCGTGCTCCGTGATGATGGTCTTACTCAGAGTTTCCTGAGTTTCGTTGTTCGTGCTGCTCGTGCTGATGATCTTGGAACGCAGCTGATTACTCACTACTGTCGTCGTTGTCAGATTTGTTGTTGCTGTTGTCGTACCAGCGGCGGCAGTTGAGGAACTGGAGCTAGTGCTGCTATTACTAGTAACGCTTGTTCTATTCGCTGTATTCAAAACAGTTCTGGGCATTATTGGCGGCTTGAGGGGCAGTTCTACACAATTTATGTTTATCAATGAAAGTATAAAAAATAAACAAATAAATACAAAAATAATAAATTAAATTACTCCATTTTGTACACTACTTCAAGGTGCGTCTATAACTATCTTGAGCAGGCAACTAAGGTACTCGACATGCACTTCATAGCGGACGCCTTTAACTTACCCAAACGACTGAGACCCGCCGCCAGTTCTCGAACGGATTTCTTCTCTAAGGCGGCGCCTGCAGGCAAAAAGAATATACATTTTATAAAACCACTAGTATTGTTATTATCGTATATATGTTACCTGGTGTAATGCCTACAATGCTGCCGCCACCACTGCCACCTGCTGCTATGGCTATACCCGGTGTAATACCCACAATAGAGCCTCCAGTGCTCTGTCCAAATGCAAGAACTTCAACATCTGGAAATCGAAGAAATAAACTTGAGTTTACCGAGACAGGCCTGACTAGGACTATCCACTTACCTTCTTCCAGCCTGTCTGGAGTAGTTTTCGTCGAGTCTCCATTGCCTGTAATACCCTCACTGTTTGACTTCGGCTCACTGCCCACCACAGACCAGGGTCGTGGCTTCTGCAGAACAATCGGCGTCCTCAGAATGCCATTACCCGTCTTTACTATCACGCTGCCCTCTCCAGTGGCATGGCTTTTGATCGAATCGCTGCTGGGCGAACGCATTTTGTCATCACGCGTACTTGGCTTAAGCAGACCCGGCACTGCAGGTGCGGCCATTTCATCGGCCCCAGGACCACCTTCGGTACGCATTTTTACCAGCGGCGACTTTCTTCCAACCAGCGGAGAGTATTTCTCCAAGTTATCCGTCGAGCGTGAACGTGTGGCCCAAGAAGCGCCTGTTAATTGAGAAAGGTTATCTATTAGCATCAAATATAATTGTGAATGAAAGTAATCCTATAGTGGCTAGAATAGGTGTTGAAAATGGTAGAGTTTTAAAGACTTCCACATAAGTTACAAAATTTGTTATTATTATATAAAATATTTCGATCTTATATTCATTTCAAATAGTACAGCTTTTGTTAACTTTTCGACAAATATTGGTGTCTCATTTTTCGCGTCAAATGCAACAAAATGCAGTCTAAAACATTAATAACAATTTTAAATATTTTTTGTTTTAAGAGTGTACAATCTAAGAAGAGATTTTTCATTTTGCATGCAGTTTTTTGCTTTTTAAAGCAAAAAGTAATATGCATAGAAATGATGTGCAAAAAATTTGGCTTTCTGGCCGTCTTTTCAGTTATTGGAATGCGTTAAAAGCTCACTTTTCAGCAACGGCGACTGCCGCTCCAATTTAATTGGTCTGCGCTCCTCGAGTATGGGCGTGGTTTCCTCAGAGGTCATGTGTCCATTACCGTCGCGACTCATGGTTGGACTGTCGACAAACGACAGAGAGCTGCATTCCTCGGATGTGGGCGAAACGAGTGGCGTCAGCGTGGTGGGTGTCACTGAGCCCGGTCGAAAGAAGTGCTCCAGACCCTCGCCAATCTCACGACCGCCTCCGGTGCACTCTGCGTTGACTAGTGGACGTGTTGGTGCACGCGTCTTGGCGCGCTTCGGTCGCCCCTTCACCAAATGCTGGAGCTGAAACGAGGCGCTGGGCAACTCGGTGATGGAGTCGCAGCACTCATCCACCCCACCATCGTCCATGACCACAGTGCTGTCTGTCATGTTGTTGGTGCAAGTGGCTCCTGTCCGCGTCGACAGCTGGGAGTTGGAACGATGTGAATTTGGCGACTCGAGTAGGTCCGGTATGTGGCCCAGACTGAGATTCTCCACAACCGATTGAGGACGCACCTTGCGAGCTACAGATCGCCGCTTGGTGGGCAAATGAGGAGTGGCCTGTGAAGCAAGAGAGGTAGAAACTAAGTAGTTAATGGTTTATAGTCTGGATAAATTCTGAAGTACATGTGTGAAACGATGAAAATAGTGGAATGAATGGTTGGTTTTTCTTTTTTAGAGGGATAGTAGCGCTTTTGGCATTTAAAAAGGATAAGATGGAAGGTAGGGGAAGAGAAATAACTAAAAGATATATAGTATATATAGGCTACACAGTTCAGAGTAGAGCATTATCATAGAGGTTAGCTAAAATAGACAAGACATGAAAGCTACTTACAAGGTTCAGATATTCCAATTTCTTTTTGTGTGTGATTTTTAATGCATTTTATGTAAATGAGTTGGAGATAAGGTTGTTTGTTTAATTATTTTTGTTGCAATTTGGGTTTTGTTTAAATACGTTTTTTTTATACAACAATTACAATACCACACACAGCACACACAGTTGGTGTGAGTGTTTGTTTGTGTGTGTGTGTGTGCGTGTGTGTGTGGATGACGATGTGTAGTATGTACGAGTACGAGTATATATTGGTTGAGGCAGGAAGACACAAAAAGAAGTTAATGAGCGTTTGATACATGGCATGTATGTATTTTTATTGATGAAATGAAATGCAATTATGTACTTTGGTTGATATATGGGTTATATATGTATGTGGTATGTACGAGTATGTCGGTATTCTTGTATACATGTACTGGGCATGTGGGCGCTCGCCAAGTTATCTGCGCTTTGTTATTTTCAATTGTTTCTCTTTTTATTTTATACTTATATTGTATATCAATTATTTATGTATGCGTGTGATTACTGATACGGTCCAGCTACATGTGTATATATTTATATATGTAGATGTATGTAGGTGTATATATAGCATATTCATATTGTAGCTTTTTACACATGTTTTGGTTTATGATTAGTTTTCGGCATTTAGCAGACTTTTAGCAGCATTTTAAGAGTCTAAATGGTTTTATTTGTTTTGGATTTTCTCAGACTATTGCATCCATTTGGGTAGCGACATATTTTCAACACTTACAGTGGGCGAATCCAAGCCCAGTTTGGGCAATATTGAGCCTCGTCCACCGGGGCGTATGATCAAACCATCGGCATCCTATGCATAAAGAAAATGTACGTATAATATATTGAATCGATATTAGTAGACTGTGCGCCGATAAGACTTTGTCCAAGTGAGTTCAACAAATGACCGAATAGGAATACATTCTTTAGTTATCACCAACGGTGGCAAACGAAAGAAAAAGTTGCCTGCTAGACTTTATTGAAAGATATTGAACGCCATGACATCACATTTTTTATTGTGCACGTATATACTTATATACAAAATAAACCTAGGCTATGAAAGATAAAACAATAGAAAGTGTTATCAGCATTCCCAATGAAGTTACGATACCCTCCCCATGGCTCTTCAATTTAAAAATGCTTGCTATGGAACTTCACTAAAAGGTATTATTATTCCTTCCCATTCTCAGACCTATTTTCTAATAAAACTATAAAAAAATTATTCTAAATACATATGTTATTGAAGTTGAATATCAAAAATAGCTGATAAACCAATTTTTAAAATGATAAAAAATTAGAAAACAGATTTAAAACTTAAATAAACATATCTATTTATTTCTAATTATCAATAGAACGGGCACACACGCTACATTCAACGAATTTTCAACGATATAGGAGACGCAACAACAACACAAACCCATAACACCCGTTAGTGTAGCGAACTATAGATATCAACTAGACCGACGCACAGACACGCACACATTCAAACGGTGTCACATACAGTCAATAGAAACTGTCTAAACTGTGCCCTGGTACGAGAAACACTTTTGAACAATGTCAAGTGCCCGGAAGAACAATCCGGCCGGCTTCTACTTACATGACTCGAACGACTGCGTACAATATCCGGGGTTTGTGGCTCATCCAGCAACATCACTGATGGCGATTCCGAAATGCCCAAGCCACGACGGTAGCGTGTCAGTGCCTCGAGCACCTCATCTGTGGCACGATCCGAAATGGTGGCGGCCAACGATTGCTCAATTTCGCTAAAGAAGAGATACAGAATGAAAAAATCAAAGCAAACGCGTTAATTAATTAGTAAGCGTAAAATCTTTCAATTGGTTGCTAAAAAAAAAAAATCGAATGCATTCCATTCACAAGAAGATGAGTAAGCGAGTGCTAACTTTTTGCTGGGTGTTGGGGATTTGGATTTCGAAATCGAAATCGAAGGCTTGAACTCCTCCAGCTCCTCATCGGGGCACTTCTTATAGGTGAGGCGCACAATGCTGCCCACACTCGGCTGACGATCGACAGCTCCAGGGCCCTTTGGGCCAAAGCAGCAGCACAATGTACGCATTAGACCCATGTTGCGGAACTGCGCGAAGTGTTTTTTTAAATTTTTTGTTTAGCCCTTTCTTCAGCTTTTGGGGAAACAGCTGTTGGTGCAGAAACCAGGCACGAGAGACTGAACAGCGTCTGTGTTTATGAGCAGGCATTGGATGTGCTTTGCGGCTATCGGCACGCTATCGACATACATATATAGTATACATACATACATACATGTGTACACAATACGTATTTACATATACATATGAGCTTTTTAAGCGCTTCGCCAGCCGCTGGGGTCTGCTCCAAACGTCTCCTACATAGTTGAATTGCATTCAACTGCTAATATTTCGTGTTTGTTTAATCTTATCTAAGCGTTTGCTCAAAACACACACACAGAGATACTTTTTTTATCTAGAACCGCGGGCGTGCGGCCGCACACACATTAATGTTTACATTTGTGTTAGTATTAGTGCGGGAGAGCTTGCGAGCGTCAAAGCTCGTTTTAAACATTTTGTCAAATCAACAGTTTGCGTTGCTCTTGAATTTGAATTCAATGAGCCAAGAATTTATGTATCTTTATCTGCGTCGAAGATATATGTATACCCTGCACTGTGCGAACTATATATCCCAAATTTGCATTAAGTCATAATTCTTGCCCAACGAGTCGAGCAACTCCATTATACTTACTATATATGAGAACAGCAATCTCAACATGTATAGTAATTTCTTTCAAGTATGGATCTTCTTGTTGCAAATATCGTTCCAGGTGATATCGTTTACAAGTATAAGACAACTACAGGGTGCGCCATCTTTTATGTCGGTATGTAAACATTGAATATCTTTGAAAATAAACAACCGATTTTCAAGTAAGAGATATTTTTATTATACCCTGTACCCAAAGGGTACAAGGGTATATTAGTTTTGTGCGAGTGCACATGGAACACGCAGAAGGAGGCTTGGTAGACCCCACAAACTATATATATTCTTGATCAGCATGACAAGCCGAGTCGATATAGCCATGTCCGTCTGTCCGTCTGTCTGTCCGTCTGTCTGTATGAACGCAAGGATCTCCGAAAGTATAAGAGCTAGAATAACCAAACTTGGTATACAGATTCTTCTGAGCCCGAGAAAGGACGAGTCTGTTCATTTTTTCTGATCCACCCCCCACTCCCCCCCCCCCTATTAACGATTTTCTATAACTCCCGTAATTCTTGGAATTTTGAACTAAAATTTGGTAGTCACATTAGGTTAGTTATTATATAACCCTATACCAAGTCTCATTATGATAGAATGATCGGAAAGAATATAGTTATAGCCATATAACCAGGCCCAATGCACACATACATACATATGTACAAGTACACAAAAACGCATAAGGCACGATTCTGATGCAAATGTAAATGTATGTATGCATGCATGGAATATTTTATATTTAATTTAGTTAATTAATTAAATTAATTTAGTTAATTAATTTAATTAATTAATTCAATTACTTTTTTGTGGGGTGGTACAGGGTATTTAAGAGTTGAGCCTGCTCGACTTTAGCATTCCTTTCTTGTTTAATTTGGTTCTGTACAATTTCTTGAACTGTGGTTTTCACCACTGGTCTACTCAAGTCAATCGGTTCACTAATGACAAAGTTATTCAATATCTACATACCGACATAAAAGATGGCGTACCCTGTAAGTATATAATAAAGTGATCTTGGTGCAGAGTTTCGGGCGGAAGTAGTGATTCAAACAGACAGACGGGAAATCTATAGTATATATGTATATATTCGTGTAAACCTATAGTATAATATTCTTTCTTCTTCCATTCTTCTGGGTCTCACAAATGTACGCACCGAAAACAAAATACCCCCACAGTTTTCAGTGAAGCGTATTCAAATATCGCTTCTATGGTTGTGCATATATGTACTACAAGTATAATATGTATAGATGTGTGCGGAAAAAATATTCCCACATTCCATTTGCAAACATTTTACTCACCCAACTTTATTCATAATTTCGCTGCCCGCATTATTCAGCAGACAGTTCTGTAGAAAATCTTCGGGCACCACCAAACGTTCGCTCAGCACTTTGCGCAAGTCCTGCACCACTATCTGGTTGCCCAGTGTCTTGGGGCACTGCTCGATACCGGTGCGTATCATGGTCTCCAGCGTCTCCTCCAAATAGCTCTTGATCGTGTAGCTCAGTTCGCTGGCGACGCGCGTCAATTTACTCTCTATGGGATGGGCATCACTGCGCACTGCCTCCTGGAGCTTTGGCATCAGTTGCTTGCAGTTCTCTGCATCTGTGATGAGCCGCTGGACAGCTGTCATGGATTCATTGTTGCCCTTGGCTATGGACATGGTATCTTGTGTTTCGGCAACCAATTTATCGACCAGCTGGTGTGTCGAGGACAGCATAAAGCCATGTTGCAGTCGAAAGCCTTGCCCGGTGGCTCGTTTGAGCCCATTCCCATTTCGCTGCAGCAGCTCCTGCATCTTTCGCATTACGGCATCCGTCTTGTCTGGATGATTCTTTAGATGCGGCGCAATGTCAAACACGGGAAACGGAATCGTGCGCATGCTGTGATTATTCTCCAGGGCATACACAATATCCGCATATCCCTGCAGCGTTATGTTGTTCTTGTCCAAATAAATCGTGCGCAGCTTATTGTTTATCTGCAGGGCCTTGGCCAGCAAACGGGCGCCCACATCCCCCATGTAGTTGCCACTAATATCCAATTTCTGCAGACTCTGATTGCTGCCCAGCGCATTTATGAAGTCATGAATATCGTTCTTTAGCTTATTCTCCGACAACACCAGCTCGGCCAATGGAAAATCATCCTTCTGTATTAGATTGACTAGAGCATCCATTACGGGCGGGATGTGCTTCGGCTTCATGCCCGTCAAGTTGCGGCACATTTGCAGCGTCCGTATCGACGGATTCTTCGAGATGGCCGTCAACACTGGTGCCAGCTCAGAATCCAAATCTGTAACGAGCGTAGATGGCGTTAGAAAAAACATCAATTCCAGCTTTTTGCTTTCTGCTTATTTGTAAATGTTTAACATTTAGTTTAGTATGCAAGAAAATTAATTAAAATGCTGAATTAATTTGAAAATAGAAAGCAGGTTAAAGATTATAATTCTGGCTATTAAAGATGTAACATTTTAGCTTAATTCCCGGTAATATACCTGGCAGCATTACTTTCATTAATTTATTTAAAAAATATTATTTTTAATGATTCGACGAGATGGCGAATACACTTTTATTTTGTGGTTGGCAAGGAAAATTAAAAATTACTTACTGTTACTAATTTCTGTAAAAATAAAGCTAGTTTTAATAGTTTAGTGATGTGAATAGAAAACATCATAGCATCCATATATGAACTTTCTCCTCCAATGTATTTATTACATCACTTTTAAATGCTACGGAAGTATATATCTAAACTTATTCTCACTTACTCTTTCTAGATTGCTTTTGTGGACAGTCTCCTAAGCCTTACATTCTTTTCGCTTTTAATAAGATTGAAAAGCCTTAACTGGGAGAATTTCTTTTACCACCAAACATTAAATATCTTTTCACAAAATAATAATAATATTATACAAATTATAAATTGTAAAATTCGGGTTTGTGTTATTTTTCAAAAATTTTTTCTTTGCTTTGACGCGCCTCTTAAGTAATTCTTCCTTTACTTACTATTGTATAAGTATATATCTAAACCTATTCTCACTTACTCTTTCTAGATTGCTTTTGTGGACAGTCTCCTAAGTCTTACATTCTTTTCGCTTTTAATAAGATTGAAAAGCCTTAACTTTAACTTTTTCTTTTACCACCAAACATTAAATAGCTTTTCACAAAATAATAATAATATTATACAAATTATAAATTGTAAAATTCGGGTTTGTGTTATTTTTCAATAATTTTTTTTTTGCTTTGACGCGTCTCTTCAGTGATTCTTCCTTTACTTACTATTGTCACTGATGTCCAGACTCTGGAGCACACGCACGCCATGTATGCAGGACTCCAGAACATGGGCGCCCTGCGTACCCAGCGTATTGCTACTTAAGTCTAAGTACAGTCCAGCTGTTGACTCATTACAGGCTAGGCCGAGCAACAAATTTCTGAAATCAAATATTATATGCTTAATGTGTATGTCTGTGAAGAATCGCTGGCCTACTCACTTGAGCGCCTCCATGGGCAGTTTGCAGCCAGCAATATTCAGATGCTTCAAGCTGAGTGTGCTCGTGAAGAATTGCTTGAAGGAGGGGGGTATCTCTTTGCCCTTTTTGGTGCTAAACGAGTTGTGTGAGACGTTCAGATGTACCAGGTGTGTCGCACAGCCGCGCAGAAGTGCACCGAATAGCTGCAATTGATGAAGGCGTGCCAAACTCAATTATATATGAACAGTACGAGTACGACACACTTACGTTCTCTAGCAGGATGTCCGTTGAGGCAAGATCCAAGTGCTCCAGCACATTGGGTTGAGCCAGAAAATTGTGCAAATTCTAAATAGAAGTTGAATTTAATTTAATTATCGTTTTAGGATATTTGACTCGTATTCTTAATACTTACGGTTATGTCATCCTTTAGACTATTGCCGCTTAGATCCAAATACGTGAGCGAATTGGCAATACTTTGATTGAGCGTCAGTGAATGCGACATCTGATTGACGCCCTTCGATGTGAGGCCGCAGTGCGCGAGTGCCAGTTTGCACAGGCCCTTGGAGACTTTGGCTATGGGACCGGCCAGATGTATGGCTCCTGGGTTGAAGAGAATCATTAGAATGTAAGCAGACGGTTTGCAGACAATTGTATGATTAAATAAATGATTAAGGACAGCGATTATTATGAATTACATTTACTGATAGAGAGATTAAACTGATTGAGAACCAAATCGTGGAAAGGCATGGAAATGTAGCGCATTTTAACCCAATTGCATGTTTTCTTTTTTCTTAATTTGTTGAATACCAATATGTAGATGTGAGTTTTGAATAGCAAATTGCTAATTAAAAAGCGTATACAAGTATATAGAATGTGTGAGAAATGTATTGTGATGACATAACTTGTGTGGCAATTGTCGGGAATTTTAAAGCGAATGCTAACAATCAATCAGGCCTTGTGGACAAAAGCAATTGCCACACATTGAAAATTGAAAAGAAAAAGCAAACATTGGATTTAATGTACAAGTAAGTATGTAATGAGCTTTTTGATATAGGAAAGCATAATGAGACTTTAGAGCAATAACAACAAGAACGATGAATGACAAATGTAATGATTTTTCGGTTGTCATATATGGCTGCGCACCTTGTACAATTTTCCCAAGTAGGGCACACAATGAGCTTGCTCCTACAAGTAACAAGTTACACGATAGATAACGCGACAACATTAATGAAATCAAATTGTTAATTGCACATGTGTTAATGGGAGAAAGAAAATGCATACAGAAAAGAGGTAAACAACATTGGATTAATTGGATTATGTTAAGGGTAGTTAAGCTACAGTTGTGTTTGTAGTTGGCAGCAATTGCAAAATCCAAGCAACCACTCCAGCCATAGCCCCGCACTGATGCAACTGCTTTATTGTGTAGGTATTAGCGGGTATTCCATGTACACACCTTTATCCTCAATTAGATTGTGACTCAGATCGATGGTGCGAATGGCGGGACTACTATTTGTAATCACAGATATCGATAGCTTACTTAGAAAATCCCATCTGCAAATACAAGAGTCTTAGTCATACTCATACTACTTGTATGTATATTACTTGATTTGCATGCTGAACTTGCCTTAAACCTAATGCCTCCAAATGCAGCTCCTCCAGCCACATCGAACGCTTGAGCACATGCAATATGCGTTCCAAAGTCTCATGCGATAGTCGCATGTGCGCAGCCTTTAGGCCACGAAAAAATGTATTATACTCCAAGGCGGATACAATGGCCATTAAGTCTCTGAAACGGTCACAAATCGCACAAATCGTAAGACGCCTAATGCATGTATAATGTCTGTCTCAACTCACTTTGGTTCCAAATGATCAAAATCACGCAAATTCAAGATGCGCGTATCGTGCGATAAATATATAGTATCGACATCCCAGGCCACTTCCTCTCGATACGGCACGCCATGAAAATCGCACATGCAGGCATATTGAGCACTAAAGCCCCCACAGGGTCCCACATTGCGCGGGTCGGAGGGTCGGAATTCCTCGGAGAAAATTGTTTCGCGTTCAGGTGGTTGTATGTCGATCTGTAAGAAAACGAACAATCATTTAAAATGTATGTACAAATGTATTGGACTAATGACAGCATTAGCCCATCCAGATGATGAACTTTGAGATTGACAGTCAAGTGTGTCGGCAACTTGACGCTATGTATGTGATTTTATTTTGAGTCGCTCAACTTGTTATTAAAGTTTTGCAGAAGCAAAGCAATGTCAATATTTGCGTAGGCCCAACTTTTTGCCAAACAAGCGGGTAGACGGTATTTTTCGGGTCTTTGGCTTCACAATACAATACAATAAGGCGCAAGTACAGCAAACTTAATAATATAAGCATATATAATTTAAGAACTAGCTAAAAAGTGTTATATTAGTGTGGTACGAAGATATGTTTATACCCTCTACTGCGTCCTAACTACAACGAAACTGTATTTCTCCATAGTCATGGTCTGCAAACTGTTTTCGTACTATCTTATCTAACTCTAGGAGGAACTTTTACCATTCGCGACTAACGAGCGAGGCAAAACTATCAAATGCATACATACTTATGTATAAATACATTACTCAATCAATATCGGCTGTGGTGCACATGTTTTTAGAAGCAAACATTTATATATATTGAGATCTGATGCTAAATTTATTAGCTGTCGGAAAAATAAAGCCACGGTGCACAGTGTTATCACGATAGCTCTAAAACTGTGGAAATAGAAGCGATGGAAGTAGACAGACGGACGGACATTTCATCATGCTGTTCATATATACATTTATATATGTACCTGTAACATGTTGTCTACCATTCCTTCTTTTGGGTGTGTTACAACCATACACACTAAAAACAAAATAGCCTTACACTTTTCAGGGAACTAGTAAATATTACTTTCTTTTTAAATGGCATTCAATAAATATGTATATTTCTGTGGCATTAGGTGTTCAACTTTATATTTTAGGCTCAATACAATATCAGATTCGCGTATATAGTACAAGTATGAGTTACAAAAATGTACCAAATATTTGAGAATTTTTTTTTTAAAAACTCCCACAATTCTTGAATTTATTTCAATTAAATTCTGTGATGCATGTTAATTAATCTTTTCAGTATCGAAAAAGCGCTATTTGTGCTCCAATGCCTTTTTTACCGTTTAAGTGATGTCTTTAATGAACAAGAAATTTGAATCATTTTCGGAGTGCATATATTACATAATTAAGTTTCAAATAAAAATTCAATGGGAGTACACTGCTAATTTGTTTGTGCCCTTTGTGTATTTACCACTTTTTTAAAGAGAAAAACAAATTGGTTTCCTCCAAACTTTACAAAGTTTGGGTTTTTAAGCCAAAACGTTAATTTAAAAACAAAAAAACTATCTAAGTATTCATTGCGTATACGCAACGTACTTTCAACAAAGTTTTCAATTATATACTGCTTTTTGTTACTATAAAGGATAAAGCTCGGAAGCCGCTAAAACAAATCTTTAATCTTCGGAAATACATTTTTACATTTGAGGACGGCAGGGTCTATAGTAAGTTGTGTCTTCTGCAAAGCCATATTTTCAAACTTCCATTTTGGAGTGTTTTCCTTTGATTTTATCTAAACTTTCCATATAGTGCCATATAGCTAGCTATAAAAACAAAAGAAATGCTGGAGCCTGAAACATGCCAGGGCATTCAACACTTAACATGCGAAACAAACGCGTGCCCTCAAGCAATTATCTACAATTTAAACGTCTCTTTAGCAGTTCTAAAACATCCATTGTTGTTATTATTGTTGTTAGAACGCCCAAGCAAATTGCTAGACAAACTGCAGCAAACAGCAGCAACAGTCGCAGTTGCAGACACAAATACACACAAACACTCACACACATGCACAAATCAAGTCGTGTGTGGGTGCAGATGGGTGGGTGATTTAAAAAAGAAATTATAGCCGAGCCGACTTTTAGGTCACGGCATAATTTACAACAAATACACTGCATTGTAGAAAAGTGCATTATAAATGCATTGAATTATTAAGTTACACATGTATGTATGTATGTATATGTATAGTATATACTTGTATGTATATACGTAGAAAAGGCGCTTATGCATTTACGTATAAAGAGCTTAATTGAGCATTTATAAAAAGAATGGAGAACGAGAGATGGAGATGGAGAGAGCGACTGAAAGAGGCTGTAAATGAGTGAGTGTGTGGGGTGTGGGTGAGAAAACTCATTGTGTGCTTGTCATGGAATATTAAATTAAACTTTAATTAAAGCAAACAGCAAATGGCAACCGCCAATGGTTAACGTGACTCAGTCAAGCTGATACTCAGAGCGCAACACACAATCAGCTCTGCTTCCAAGCTAATAAAACACAATGCCGCTTAGCTGAATAGGTGCAGAATTTAGCTTTAGCTATCTAAGTATGTATAGTATATGAATGAAACTATGTTTAAAACACAAGATAAGATGAATAATAACTATGATTATTATTAAAACAAAGGGGTTTCAAATGGTAGCTGAGAACTCGAATACCAGGCAGATTTTATAACATTCAAGAGCTCCGTTGCTCTTGGGTCGCACACAACGGGAAGGAAACATGGAATCCTTTCAACCCATGATACCGAAATCAGAGGGCTTGTTGGGTCATCCCCTTTCGCCCCGACAAGCCCGGTGATGTGGAACCTTGTCGCCTTTAGTCGACTTATATGACTAGCGTATTTGATGGTATTCTAAACCATAATTTACAATGAAAAACAATTAGTCATAGAAGTTTTCAAATACCTGAAGTAGCTGATTTAGAGAAATACTTGTAGTATGTCTCGCTAAAAGTTCCACAAATACTTAATTCAAGATCGAAATAATATTTTGTTATAAGATTTGGGAGCTTGTAATTTAATTTCATCAAGACCCGTATGGCCTGACTTTCTTCCTAGACCGCAATTTTTCTATTAATGTAGAAAATTGTGTTTCATATAAAATGCTGAACCTATTTACTTGAGCTGTAATGTTACTCTACATATGTTTATGTGCATGAATATATCAAGCTAGACAGTCAGTCAGTTAGTCGGTTAACAAAAAGTAAAACTTTTTGCACACATCCAACAGCCAATTAAGCTTTCGTCGTAGTGGGTGGCACGTCTGAGGTTGAACTGTCGGTAGAACTGTCGAGTTTTAATAATAAATAAACCGTAATGCCCAGATCTATGTAATATGCAACCTGCTGGTTGCACGCTTGGGTAATTCAACTAACCGTTTGGGTTTTGCTTTTTTGCTCACACATTATTTATATTTATTTGAGTTGAATTCGTAATTCATTCTCTACTCACCTTTTTAATAATATACTTGAGAGGAACTGTTGGAAATATTTGTTTAATCGCAGAGGCCAAATCGGTTAAAACGACGTCGGCGTTCTGTGGAAAATATCAAATTCAATTAAATATAAATGTTATATACAAAGCTACTTGTACATATGGAAGTACTATGTATGTTTACACACCGAACTAAAGTTGCCCGCATCGCCAGTGGTGGCAAATGAATATGGCCGATCATTTGTTATAATAGAAAAGTGTGTTGGTTTTTTGCTCTCCACTCCCACAATATCCAAATAGTGAAAATGACATTCGATCTGTAGCAGAAAGAGAATTGAGTAAAGTGATAAACAATGTTCTTTATGTAAGTACTATAGTGTACGAATTACAAACCTTTGTGGGAACTTTAGCACTGAGCAAATAAATCCGTACTGGCGTGAAAACCTGTTAGAATAACACAAATAAGGACAGGAATTATAAATTAATAAATTAATTAATTAGATAAACTATACTGAATCGTAAAAAGCTATATGTATTACACTCATTACAAAAAGATTATGGAATCGTGTAAGTTTCTTTTTAGTATATATTTATCTTCCAGAAAACTTGTTTTAGATAAGTATTAGAACTTAGGCAGCTACATAAGTTTATATGCAATCCCTCTAAGTCAATATTTATCTTATCTTCGCTTCATTTGATTTTGGAAAATTAAAATAAATAGTGGAGCTTTGAATATTTTTGTACAGTTTATCTTATCTTTTTGTGCTGGTGTTTATTATAAGTATTAATTCCCATCAAGTTTAAAACTTTCCCTCGCACACACCTAACCACAAGAAGGGTTTGTCAAACGTTTCATTTTTATTTACATTTAACAAATTCCATACCAAGTATTACTCTAATTTAACCGTCGCTTTGGTATTTGGTAAATAAAAATAATTTGGAAATAAATTGTGAAATTTCTGATAAATTATATTAAATACAAAAATATTATGGCTGCCCTCCTCTGCGATTCTCACACCAAGTACTTAAGTAATGGCGAACGAGAAGTAAGTTGTGATTTTTCTGATAAATTAAATAAAAATATTGAGAAAATAATTTGTGAAATTTCTGATATATTAAATTAAATTCAAAAATATTGTGGCCTCCCTCCTCTGTGATTCTCATACCAAGCACCTAAGTGATGGCAAATCGATTTTTCTGTTCAATTAAATACAAATATTGTGGAAATAAATTATATATGTTTCTTTTTACACGGTTCTTTCTGAAACCAATCTACCATATACAAACAGAATTAGATGTACTCCCCTACCAAAAATGTTCATACTCGACAAATATTTAATGGCTTTCAAAAGGAAAAAGTGCAAAAAGCGTGCTTAAATGCATTTTATGCAAAAGCCAAAGCAATAGTTTGGTCAGGCCACCATTCAAGTGGCAATTTGTTGGCGGAAGGTAGGAAAAGTGCTCCTTGAAACGCGCCTAAAAGCCGGCAACGTTTAGACTTGAAGCACACACACACGTACATAGATGGATGTAATTGAATTTTCCCTTTGCCTTTTGTCAGAGTGGCGGCAAAGAAACCGACGTGGAGCTTAATTGAAAATCAAAATGCGTTTTGTAATTCATTTAGCCAACTAATTCAATGCAACGGCAGCACTGGAAAATGTTAGGTAGCAACTAAAAGATTTTCTGTCCACACCCTCCTCCTCCTGCTGCTCCGCCACTCCTCGCTAAGTGGAAACTCGATACCCTGCACAAAGCATAAGCGGCTTCAATGTGGCCCTTGATGAGGTCAAATAAGTGAACAAATCAATTTTACAACCGTGTAACTTTAAGCGCCCGTACAAGTTTAAAATTATGTATGCTTAGCTAAATGCGACAACTGAGACCCCGACTGGGCCGGAATGTCGCTAAGTGTGCTATAAAATATCAGTTACGAGCTCGTATCAGCTGCATGTACGTGTGCGTGGGCGTGGATGTGACAGTTCGACAGTTTTCAGCCGCTTAAACCAAACAATGAAGTGCAGACAGATAAGTCAGGGCTTTCGGAAAGTTAATCAAAAGTTGTCCCGGATCTTTTGTTGTTGCTAACACTGGGACAATGGGCGACTGCCAAGAAGGTGGAGAGGCATCCAGTTTTTTAATTAAATTCTTGGCAATATCTATGATGAGAAGAGCCTACATTATTTCCATTTGGCTGCAAGTTAAATGGAAAAACAGCTAAATGAAAATGAATAACAAGCAAATCTTAGCTTGACACAGCGAAGCTTAAGTACTCTGGGGATCGAGCCAACGTCTCAAAGTGTATTGCAATAAATACAGAATATGATACTCTATTAATGAAACATTCAAAAAATAGCAATACAATTACTTTTTAACAACAAATTACAACTTTAACAATTAAACTACTTTTAAATTGCATTATCTAGGTGTTGAATGTTTTGTGTGAAGTGTGTAAAAACTTATTGTACTATACGTGTCATTAATTATCCCAAAATTAATTTGAATAAAAGACAGTTTAGCAGAAAATACAGTTGTTGCGTTGAAAGATCTGATGTCCACTCCATAATTAAGCAACATTTCCATTTATATTGTTAGTAAGTTATTCCTGATGAACAAAAAGTTTCCGGACTACTCCACAATTAAGCAATATTTCTATTTCTAGTTGTAGTTATATATTATAGTTAATCCTGATAAACAAGTTTCCGGACTACTCCACAATCAAGCAATATTTCTATTTATATGCTCAGTGTAATTATATATTATAGTTAATCCTGATGAACAACAAGTTTCCGGACAATATAAAAAAGATCATTTTTTTATAATAGTAATTAATATCTTTATTATCTTCAAAAGTATCCAGCACTAAAATCTATGCACGATGCTATATCTTGCGAATATGGCCCAGCGAGAACATTTGTTGAATGATTGGCCAACAAGACGAATTGTCTTTCCACAAATCTAATTTTCTCGGGAAAATCCCTTCAACCAAATTCTTCATAATCCAAGGACTAAACCAATCTCGTAATTTTCGAACACAATTTTCTTAAATTTTGTAATATTTGATGTTGATAGACGGAGCTGATCGGAGCAACGTCTGACGTCTTCACGCCCCTTTTAAAACAATGTCATCCATTCGTATGCCTGTGTTTTGACTCTGCAGTCCTTCTTAAAAGCACACGATAATTGAAAACTAATAAGCAAAATGTACCTAAGCTATGCCAGAGTGTCAAATAAATATTACCAATCTAATAAAAACAAATTAGTATACACTTTGTGTAAAACTAGTAGTAGTGTAGTAAAACTTTGTGGTCACATGGCATGCTTTTGAATTGCTTTGATTCTTTTAGTCTTTTGAGAATTTTTTGAATATAAACAAACAAACCTTTCATCTTGGAATTTTATTAAAGAAAGTTCCACAGAAAACGCGATTGTTGCAAAATGCCTTTTTGGAAGGGTATTAAAAGCAATTGGCCGTAATGCTGCATAGCACAGCTTCAGGCGCTTGCAACTAAAGCAATTTGACTTGCAATTTGCACACAAATTAGAGTGCTGGCAGGGGCAGTAGCCACAGCCGCAATTTGTGGCAAGTGCGATGCGTGTCAGCAACTGTTGCTGTGATTGCGGCATGCCACATCAACATCAGCTCAGCAGCAGTCACACAGCAGCCACAGGCCAACAAATGCGAAATGCATTTTAGCGTGTTTGCAATTAGCCCCCAACAACAACAACAACAACAACAACATAAACAGTAACAGCATTAGCCATTGAGTAACCGATTGCCACTTACCAAAACTCGATTCTCCGTTTTATCGCCTTTCGTTTCCAACTTGACCATATATTTGACCAAAATCTTGGTGTGACGACCCAGAACGGCTTTTACGCTCTCTGCAAAGACACGAAAATAAATGAATTCATTAATTAAATGAGTAAAACGGAAATTCCACGAAATTGGAGACCCAGCTGAGCTGCATGGGTCGCACGTACAGCTATCGTCGTATTATACTATATACATACATGTATTTGCAAGCCAGTGCCTCCCCCACCACTCCCACGGCACCCACTACCGAGTTCTGAGTTACTCATACCGATACGTAGCGCCTGCCATTGAGCTTTATGAGCTCAAGTGAATATAATTGCGAATTGCGTCTTAAACATATCAAAAAATATACTTGTATATTAAGGAAAATGAAAATCTGAAAACTGAATTGTGTGTGGCACGCCAGCAACAACAGCCACTGCAACAACAACAACAACGTGAGCATGTACTATAATATAAAATATATGATACGACTGCGACGCTTGACGTGCATGCCAAATTCAAGGGTTATATCATACATAAGTGTGTATATCTACATATATGTACAAAGCTTATTACGATTGGCAGCTTATTAACACATGTACATACATATGTCTGTCTGTATGTACACACATATTTGTGTATGCGGGTGTGTGGGGGGACTAAGGCGATGGCAGCCTGTCTATTGGTGTTTGCTTCAAACGAGACACGTAGAGCGTAGAGCAGTTTCTCCTCCACCTACCCGCCCGGCAAAGGTTCGCTCCAGTAGCCCCATTGTTGTTACTACTTAGCATAGCAACAACAACAACACACACACATATATGTATATCCCATATTCATCATAAACAACCCGCACACATGTGTGTACTCCATATACGATGACGAATTGTACTGAGTATAATATTTTTATATGCATTTTGAGACACAATGCCAAAGTGAAGAGGAGGCTGCCGGCAAAGTTTTCAAAGTGTTGGGCCATTATGTCATGCGACAGGCATGCCAGGGAGGAGTCACCGGGACGCACATGAAGCAGATACCCACACATACATACACACACACACACACACGCACGCACCTCCGTTTGGCCGGGCAACCCGGACAGAGTCACTGAGTGTCATAGTCTCGCTGTCAAGCAAGGCAAAGTGTGTGTACACAGGCGGTATTCCCTGCTTGGGTACATCCGTTAAAGGATGGAAGCTAAAGTGCTCCATCACCGGCTAGGCAGTATCTTTATGGACGGTACGCCGTAGAAATGAAGATATTTACAGAAATCTTATTGCAAATGAAAATCACTTTAAAAAGGCGTATGCGGAGTCAGCCTTTTTTAGAATTATTCAAAATAGTTAACATTACTTATGAATTTATGTTTATTGTTCGTTGCACAAATGATCGATGAACAAACATGGTCTTAGATTATTAAAAAGTACAATTCATATACTTATAGACCTAATTCTGTTTTTACACGGTAAATTGATTCCAAAAAAAAGTTGTGAAAAAAACCGTCTTAAAAAAGACATTGATCATATGTTATTTTGAATCGTGCTAAATGGAATAAAGTCGTGGAACCATAAGTATATAAACTTTTCAATTTTCAAACCGTGTTATATCAAAACCGTGTAAATACAGAATTAGGTGTAGTAGTCGACTGCTACATCAACAATTACTGGTGCGAAATTAATATTGAACACCCATTTTTTTAAAAATCTTTATTCTTTATTTAAGATCTGTCCTAAGGGGGACAATTATTAAATTATATGGTAGCATTGGATTTTGATTAAGCTAGATCGCTGATCTATGCCAGGCCACACTAGCTAATGGGTTCTCTTGAATGAACACAAACTGAATTTGATTTTTAAGTTCAGCTAAATTAGTTCTTTAAACAAATATTGATGTTTGTTGCTTAAGAAACCACTACTAAATTAATTTAAGATGGAGTATAATAGTCAAGAACTGTTCAACATTATTTTATACGACGAAGTTATGCGTTTTAGGAATGTTTGCCAGTTCATTCTACGTCTGGTATACCGCCCATCATAGATACTTATATGCCGCACGTGCAGAGCAAAACTTCGAAGCTATGAGTCCGTCTAAAATGTGTGGCACATGCAAAAAATGTAATTGAAATGTATAGAATGCCGGCTTGAAAATCCCACAGTCATTACTCAACAAGGCATCCAGACAAGGTAAAAATGTTTGGCTAGTTTTTCACTTTTCTAAATTTTTTTTTTTTTTTTTTTGAATGCAGTCGAGCCCGTAGAAAACTGTTAACTATTTAAGGTCATGCCCCAAAGTGGAATTAAAAGTGAAAAGTAAATAAATACATAAATACTTGGCAATTGATTGGCATTAAGTGCGCCATAAACAGTCAGTGGGGAACAGTTTTTGGACACTGACCACACACACTAAATGGCGCCAAATTGTGGCCAAACAATTACATACAAATGAAACAGAAGAAAGACATTGGGCCTTTATTGCCTTTGACGCCTAGTGGGGGGATGGGGGCCGCCAATTGTGGATTGTTATGGTCAAAATAGATTGTTAAGACATGTTGGCACGCACACATGTGGCGACATGTGGACATGAACATAGACATGTGTAACGGGCCGGCAAATATTAAAAAAAAAAAAAGTTTTTCAATTTTCTGCCGTTGGGGATCTGAGGGAGCAGTTGTATAAGTGTGTGTGTGTGTGTGTGTGTGTGTGTGTGTGTGTGTGTGTGTGTGTGTGTGTGTGTGTGTGTGTGTCTGCGTGTTTCTGTGTGAAGGTGTTGCGTGAAACGGTGGCATGATAATCAAGCATAGACGGCAGTCTATGCCATAAACAACAGCAGCAGTTAACTACAAGGCAAAGGCCAAAGGCGTTGGAGTGTCTCCCCGTCCCCGTCCCCGCTCTCACTCTATATCTCACTCTTAATTACAACGCGTCGCGTCAAATGTGAATGAACTTTGTTAAACGACGAAACCGTCCCTTTCCTACTCTCTTTTTCTATCTTGAACATTACTTGGCTCCCTCTCACTGTTTATGTTAGCAGCTTACTGCAGCAGCAGTAGCAGCAGCAAATGATTATATTGTAGTACTTGTTGTTGGTGGCACTGATGTGTTTGTTGTCGTTGTTGTTCTGGTTCATGCATTGAGTGACACTGTGTCAATAGCATGACGAAGCGCTTGTAACTACGAATAGATGTACAAGTATGTATGAGTATATTGTATGTGTAAGATTACATACGAGTACATACATACATACATACATATACGCAAGTTTGTTTGTCTGATTGCTGCCATGAAATTGCATCAGTCACAATTTTGCATAACAATTTGCTTTCGTATACTATAAAAGATCCATGCTTTCCGAGCTCGATGGAAAATCAATGCGCACAATCATGATTGCAGCATAAAGATGAATGAATAGATACATATGTACAAGTATATTGAACTGCAACTTTTTTGGTGCATAGTTACACATAAAAACTGAATTCTTTTTCTTTTTTAATGAAATCGATATCATTAGTTTTATTTACATTTCACATTACCTAATTCAAGCACCTTGTTTTAAATACCCCTTCTCTTTTGCAAGTAACCAGTGTTTTAACAAGAACTGTTCTACTTGTTTTAAATTTGTGTGAACATCTTATCGTATTCCATTTCAGCATTTTAGTGCAAAGAAAATCTGATCTACAACAGGATCTTATATTGAAAAATATTCGTGACAACAACTTCTATAGCCCTTTTATTGTTTAAGCAAGGCCCAAATGAAATATGAAAGAAATTTGTGTATACTAAAAATGCTTAGGGAATATAAGTGTTAGAACAAATTAATTATGTTGTTTAAATTTACATAATTAGCTTAGAAATACTTCCTTCAGCTTTGATCAAAACTCGATTAAGTTTCTGAAGCATAACAACACAAATCTACAGATATACGAAACTTTTTATGAACTGCAGACAAATGCTATTCTCCGATCATGAATCCGCGAATAAAGTAAACGATAACAAAGCATCAACATCAAGCCAGCCAATGGTTGTAATATTTGTTATAATTACCATTCTGGCCATTTGTCACTCACTTCATGGTCCGTCGCTTCATTTCCGTTGAAAGGAAATTTGACTTTGATAGATATTTGTGATTATTGTGCAACGGTGTGACTGTTGGCTATCGATGCTCTCATACCTATTCTAAAGCCTGATTTTCATTCAATATGTATTTATACATACATACATATACTATATAGTTGCTAGATATCAGAGGTCAAAGCACGAGCTCTGGAGCAAAGTTTGCGAAAATGTTGAGCGCTTTTCAGAGTGAATTGGGTTGGGTGTGGGTGGTTCGTTTAGCTGCAGTGACAGCATTCGACAATTGAGCATGCATTCTGTGTACATACATATGTATGTATGTGTGTCTAGGTGGGTGGGCGTGTGTTGTAGTCAGCTGCACTACTAACAACAACGACTAGTGTGACCCAATTCGGGGACTTTTTCTGCAGTAGACTAAGCGAAGCTCAGCACAATGCCAGAGATTACACGAGTTCAAAATACTCAGGCACAGCTGTCTGTTTGCAGCTTTGTTTGCTTGTTTGTTTGCTTGTATGACTGTCTCATTTTCTGTCTGTCTGTCTGTCTGTCTATCTGCTCGTTTGCCGATGTTGTTTATTACAACGTTCTCGTGTAGTGTTAGTGTGTTGATTGTGCACTTCTTGTTGCTTCAGCTTCTAATAGTGACCGCTTATTGTTTGTGACATCCATCTACATTTTTTTACAAACATACATACATACATATGAATAAAGAAACTAACACGATCACACTATCGCACAACAGCGTGCATTGTTAAGTGACAAAAGCTGTGAACACCGCTGTCAACATACATAGCAGCTACATAGAATAAAAAATGTACAGTTTGACAAGCATTGCACCAAAGCATTTGACCGCCAATCGCTAAGCTTGTTGACAGTGAAAAACGACGGAAAGCGAAGAACATAACAAGTCAAAAGCTTAAACTATGCTCCACTGACCAAAAAATGCCAAGAACACGAATTACTTATGTTGTTGTTGTTGTTGTTGGTTCTTCTGTTTTGTATTATTTTTTGCTCAAAGG